AGTGCACGATAAATTTATGTGATTCATGCATTAACGGAAATTCGTCTAATTTACAAAGGAAAACCAGACTAAAATAAGGCACCCTTACGTCTTTGAGGGTGCACAGAATCTCCTCTAAAGCTGATGGTGCAACTGCATCATGGGATATGAGCTTTTGCAGGCAAGATAGTCCAATCACACTCAACTTAACCGTCCTAACCTTACAGGCCATGAGAAAGATGTTGAGTATATCTTCATTTTGAGCAATTTCACTAGGGCTTGACAATGATCTCAGCTGAAAATTCATTACCTTAATGCTTAAAAATCACATCTTGCAAAAATTATATTTCTTCATATTTAATAGACAAGATGGAATTGCAACAAAATAATAATGAAGGCTTAGTACATGAATTGCTTAATTATTTAAACAAAACATCTTCATTAATTATAATCTTGCATTTACAAAGCAGTTTGTTTGAGGGAATGCTTAAGGATAAGCATAGAGATAGGAGTAACAAGATATATAACCTTCAAAATAGCATGTTCTGCGGCGTCCTTAACGTTAGGGTTCCGGCGGCGAGCCTCCGCAGAGAGAGCTCTAAGATCTGACTCCAAGACCGCCATGAGTGTCATCCCACTCCAATCAAATAAAGCTATATTCAGTATTTGCTCACACCTGCCCTTTCAATGGCAAAAGAAATTGAAAGTAAGACGTACTCCATATTTTTCAATTTTTGGCTGGTGGTATTGTTCCGTTATCATTCTCAAACAAACATACTCATAGAAAATTTCTTAGGAGGTTGTATTCTACACAGATTTTAGAAGATTCTAATATATTGTTTAGAATTCAAGGATTCTGTAAAATCAATAGATTGTTTTAAGTCTATGCAGAGTTAGATAGATTTTAATGGATTTTATCAACAAGATTTTATAGGATTATGATAGATTGTTTATAATTAATAAATTATTTATATTTTTACATTTGAGTTATTTTAAAAATTCATAGACTTCTCCACCAGTTACAAGAACCCTAGACGACTTCCTGCCAATCTTGAGGTAGTTCACCCTCAAATAATGAGCTGCAAACCCCTCTATCACAGCATAACATCAAGGCCAACATAATCAAACAAAAAGAAATTAACCATGTTGCAAATTCTTTTAGCCGATGGCACCTATGAGCACCATAGATCAAATTTCTTTAAATTTTATTTCCGCTAGAAATTTTTTTTCTTTAAACTCATTATCCAGCAGAAGAATGAAAAAAAAGAAGAATAATAACAATGAGAAGAATGCGTAGCTTATAAGCAATTTTAGTGGTAGTCATCTAGAATTGAAGTTGAAATGGGAAATTGCTAGAAGATGAGGAGGAGAACCCCTGGGCAGTGGCGGCTATGTTCTTAGAAGCATGTCCCTTCATTCTACTGAATCGCTCCAGATCTCAATTACCGGTCTCAACATTTTCAAAATTCAATCCAATATTACCCAACAACAACCACTCCCAAATGTCGGAGAAGATGGGATGGAGACCTGGTGTGACGAAGTGAATGATCAATTGGGGAAGATGAAGAACCAGGTCGGAGAAGATGAAGAACCCGGCCGGAGAAGATGAAGAACCCTGCTCGAGAAGATAAAGAACCGTGAGATTTGCGAAATCTATAGCTTTTCCGTGAGATTTGTGATATTGATTTCCATTTTAGGGTATTTCTCTCATGCCCAGGTAAATGAGAGGGCATGCATGTCCCTCTATTAAATTGCTGCCATGTGATTGATTAAGTAAAAACTTCATTTCGTTTTAAATTTAAAAAATTGTAGTAAGGCTTGTCTTGTGCCTCTTGTTAGCGTTAGTTCTTCCGTCATCTACTCCTACTCCATTATCAAATTTTATTACTCGGATTTATGCTTTCAAAAAAAGAAGTTAATCACTCAAATTTTTTCATTGGTTGCATTCTGTTTAATTTATTTTTTCTTATTTATTGCTAATTTTTATTTAAATTAAATTATTTAATATTAGAGGCACTCAAATGTTATTCAAAATATTTTTATTAGATTTATCTTGAATGATAAAAGGAAAAATTATTCAAAATCCTTTAATATAATATTTAGAGTTGATAGCCTAGAATTTTGACATGTGGCAAATTAAGACTCCTATTTTGATGACACATCAGATGACACGCGTCTAATTATAGGCGAAGCGCTCCTTCGTCCTTCCAGTACCCGTTCTTTCTCTCCGCCGAGTTCTTCGCGCAGACGGAAGGAAATTTCCTGCAAATTCTCGCCTTTCCTACTTCTTCGCGTGAAATCTGCGATTTCCCAAGGATTTATATTCCATCTACATCCCAGATCAATCGCAACGGCTCAACATTCCATCTTCACAAAGGAAAATCTGCAAATTAGGTAGGTTTTTTCCAATTTATTTGGGTATTTATGTATTGTGGAGCAAAATTCGGTGTTGCGGTTAAGGTGCTGGATTTTTTTACTTCTTCGCCATTCACGGAAGAACTATACCAAATTTACACATCCCTTTTTCGCCAATTACACTTCCCTTCTTCGCCAAAGGAAAGAATCTGGTTGCGCCAATTACTCATCCCTTCTTCGCCAAAGGCAAGAATCCCTGACAGTAGGTTTCTTTCCAATCTAAGTCTTATTCAATTGGTATTCCTCTTGGTTTGTTTCCTATATATTCCCATTCAATTCTTAAATTTGATTCAAGATTCACAATTTTCGTAATTTTTTTGGCATCTTCACGGTTTCTTATTCACAATTTGGGCGTGTGAGATTACACGCCTTATTTACAATCATATATGCCTAATCACATACCTTCTTTCACCAGTTTCCTGATTTATGCTCTACCCGTGTATAGTGATGAGGGGACCACGAATTATATTGAGATGGTGTTCATGTATGAACATGTAAGTCGAAGCCTCATAATGATACTATGCCCATTATGGAATTGGAACTTGGATGATGTTTTTTTGAACTTATCCAATTTACTGGGTAAAACTAATTAGAACTTAGTTTTAAACTCTTCTAATTAGTCAAGCTCTATTGCAATGACTATAAGTATGAAACATGTGGTATTTTGACAATTTTTCTTTTAACTATATCATGAAACATTTTTAAAATAGGTATCATATCGAATCAAGAAAAGAGTCGTTGACGCCTCGGGTGGTGCTACTTTGGTAGTATTTGAGAATGTTGGATGTTTACTGCTTCATAACTCGTGTTCCGAAATGATGAAATATTGTGAGGTATGTATGTATATGATAAATAAATTTGGGTTTGAACATAGAGGGAGCTTGATTTGTTTCTTTACAACATTGTATTATTGACAGTGTTGTAAGATCATTTTAAAGTTGTTTTATTTACTTTCATCCCATTAAATTCATTTAGAGCTTACTGCTTTTTTTGTGTCCAATGGTTTAAACCATGTTCAATCCTTTTAGCCAACTACTTTCTTTTAGGCACTACTCAATCAAATATGATCCATTTGAATAGAGCCACTCCTCAGGCCATGTTTAGATGACCATAATTTAATGTGATTTTGGTATGCATGTGTTTGATTTACTGTAATTTAAAGTGAAGCAGGAATATGAGGTTGTATTGATGACATTAGTAGTTAGCATTAAAATTTCATGCAATACCATCAGAGTATACCATTCTTTACTTTCCAATGGGTTCATATTTGTAGGCAATTTCTGTGACAAATTATCATTAAACCAGTTTCTTAATGACACCTTTCTCTTGCAAAGTGTTTAACACTAAATTTATATGTTACATAGTTGTTGATGGGGTAGTTTGTGAGGAAAACTCTTAAATGAATAATAAAGTACATTTTCAGCAGTAGCACTTTTGGGAGTTAAATTTAGTGATTGAATGTACTTATGGCTGATCTTAGACAATTAGCCTTTATGGTGATGCTTGCATCTGGCATCATCTACTAATTATTAATTCAAATTCTCATGCAGTGTCCCGGGTGGAGACATACAACCATATGGCTTCAATGAGTTCGATCCTTCCTATAATGTGATTGACATCTGTTTCAATGAACAAACCATCTAAAATTCAAGGAAATGTATTCTACTTTTTTCAGCCCAGGTTTGATTGCATACATAATGGAATATAAATTTGGCCTTAGTGATATTTTAATTAGGTGTAAAGTCACGTATGACTTTTCACTTGCTAATAATTTGTTGATATGTCAACCTGTCTTGGTCTGTCTTGGGAATAGATTGATATAACTTCGGGACTTTTAACCGGGGGAAAATCATCACAGCACATATACGTTCTCTATACATTCTCTGTGGATGAGGCATCACCATGTGTAAAGGTTAATGTTCAGCAATCTAAATAGAAATTTATTAACCTATGTAGATGTAGTTTTTTTATAGCATCTTCTACAATCAAAGTCGAGTATTGGCAGCAACACTTTTGTGCTTGATGAAACTTGCATTTTTTTTATCTTTTTGCTCTTGTAGAGTTTGAATATTTTGTAGAATGTAATGATAATCAGTTGGAACAAAATGTATATGATATCACTACAAAACGTATATGATATCACTGATTCTACTCTCAACAAAAGAATGAAAGAGGTGGAGCATTGTGATGGAAATGGGAATGAGTCAAGCAAGAAGATAATGAGTGTTAAAATAGACAAAAACTAAGACTCGGTATTTTTTGAAGCTTTGAAAGTTGATTTTTTTGTTTGATTTACACATTAAACATATTATGCTTTATAATTGTTGGATTTTTTTAAGAACATGCACATGTTTGAAGAATATGTGTGTTGGGGGTGATCTTTTTTAAATAAGAAAATATGCGGTTAATCTTTAAGAGCTTGGATTCTTTGGATGATGTTCTTGCCAAAAATTGGCTACCAACTCTTTCTGATCCAATTGCATGCCTTTGTACTGTAGAGGCCACCATCCTGACTTTCGGTATATAAGAATAGGAATTTTAAAGTTTAAAACCATATGTCATCTGGCAACCTACAAAGAGCATTGAAGAAACACTTGCTGCTCTGGATTTTCTTTCTGTTTTTAAAGCCTCAAAAATGGTAAAACTATTTCTGTTTGTGCAAATTGTGAGAAGCCCAAAAAGAGAAATACATTTATTATCAGCTTTTCACTTCTTCAGTGTTGAGAAAGATAAATACACTATGAGAACTTAAAGGAAGAATTAGAAAGACAACCCTCTTCTTCTATATATTGATTGTTCATGGATTACTATTAAAACTTCAATTTATATTCTTCTACACCCTCCGTAAAAGAAATATGTTCTCATTTGGCTTTTAACGGTCTTAATTTAATACTCCGTACTTTGACAAGTAATATCTATATAATCCATTCATTTCAAAAAATATCTTCCGTCCTAATTTTTTTGTGAACCTCATAAAAGACTTTTAAAACCACCGTAAGTATAGTACATCCATCCCAATTTAAATCAACTATTTGAATTCAGAATTAAGAAAATAGTTATGTGTACAACGTATTTGAGAATTAGAGCGGAATCAGAAATTAAAGCTCATATATTAGAAAACATAAAAAGTTCTAAAAAAACAAAATGTGACACAACTATTTTATTTTACCGAATGAGTAACGAATATAATGACAACAAAGAAATATTAAAGAATACTCTTCAAAGGTTCTTATTTAAAAAGTTTTAGATACAAAATTATTATGAAAAATCTTTGGGGGGCGGGATTCCAAAAGTTTAAATTACCCATTCAAAGGGCTTCGTTTGGGGAGGGGTGGCTGGGGGCGGGGGCAGGGGAGAGAATGAGGGTGGGTGCAGTGGGAGAAAAAGTTCTCAAGGAATTCGAGTACTCGAAGATTGAGTAGGAAAATGAACTTTAATATAAAACAATTGATACTCATTTTCTCCTCTAAGAGAAAATATTTTTCTTAAAAAATTATTTCCTACCATTTATGCAACGTAACATAACAAATTATTGGAATTTTTTTGCAAAAATATTTTTCTCTCAACCAAACATATCCTAAGAACTATAATCTAAAAGAACGAAACCTTAAAAAATTTAGAATTGACAAAAAAATTTCTATACCCCGTGCGTTGCACGGGTTAAATACTAGTAATCTCAAACTTACTCCGTCTTTCAAAAATAATTCTACCTTCCACTGTAATGTATAATAATCCCAAGTTTATTGAAATTTGTAAGTTTTGGACAGCCGTTAACCCACCGTTCGTAACTTAACGGCGACCAAAAATTTACAAATTTTAGTAAAGTTGAGATTATTATTCATCATAGTGAAATGTGTAATTACTTTTGAAAGACCGGATAAAGTTAGGATTATTCTGTATAATTTTTCCCTTTTGATTTTTTTATCTAATTAATACTCCCTCCGTTCCACAAAACCCTTCCCCTTTTGTTTTTTTGTTTTCCACAAAACACTTCCACTTTTTATTAAAAAACTACTTTTACCCATACTTTTTCATACACTACCTATCACATCATATTTTTTACTAATAATCAAACTATCACATCTTACTTTTTCTCATCACATCACGGGCAAAATTAGAAAATCAACCAAAATTATACTTTTTTTTATTTTTGCCCAAAGTCAAAATTGGAATGGTTTGTGGAACGGAGTGAGTATAACATATAACTTTTATATAATTTTAAGTTAAATATTGATGTAACGTCCCAAAATATACCCTAAAAAGAACCTTATTTGGATTTCTTTTTCTATAAGTGTATTTTTTTTATTTTTCATATCATTTTTCTATTGTGTTTTCCTTTTTTTATATTTTCTTTCCCTATTCCATGTTTTCTTATTTAAATGTATCAAAAAAATTCTATTTATTTTATAAAGAAAAAAACAAAAATGTTTTAGTCAATATTGATCTGATCTCATTGAATCTGATCTGATCTAGTGTGATCTGATCTGATTAATTATGATTTGATTTAAAATTCAAATCAATATTTTGATTTGACTTTATAATAACGTTTGAAAATTGTAATGATAATTCATATTATAATATAATCAAAATTTTTTATTTTATGATTATTTTTTAGTGAAATAAAATTAGTTAATTCATATATTAGAATAATCATTTATATTATAATATAATAATAGTTTTTATTTTATGATTATTTTTTTATGAAATAAGAATATTGATTTAATATTTTAATAATTAGTTCATATATACATTAGAATAAATATTTATTTCATGTATAAATTAAAAAATAATTAAATTTAGATAATTAATATAGATAAGAGATACTTTATTAAAATATCTCATCCTTATAAAATATCAGCATGTGCTTTGGACTACGAAACTTTTTTTATGATTAATATTGTTGAGTCACTAAATATTCTATTTTATTCCTTCATTTATTAGTTCTTTTAAGATATTTAATATGCATTTTATACATAAATGAGAATATTTTCTAATACTTGACATTTTAGGCTATTGTTTACATTTTATACATGAAATACACGATTTTGAACTTTTTTATTATTTGATAATTATTTTGGAAGTATTATTTTTCTTGACAGATATATTTTAGAACATCAATAGTTGAGAAAGATAGCATTATTGGACCTTTAGAGCAATAAGAGTGAAGATTGGGCCAAGTCCAAATTTGACCCATAAGAAATAAATAAAGAGAGCAAAGAAAATAAAGGAAAGAAAAAAAGCTACGCTTCTCCCAAATCCCAAGCGTAGGAAAAGAAGAAGAAGGCGCAAGAGACGGGAATCCAGCGCGAGAGATACAATTCTTCTCATATTCAAACTCTTCTACTTCAATTATAAAAAGAGGAGACCAGATCGGGAAAGGGGGAGACGGATAGAGTCGAGAGAACAGATCGGAGCAGAGCAGGTGCCGACCTAGGGTTCCGACCCTAGGTCCGGCGACGGCAATTGCACAGTGGTGACGACGACGGGAGGTCTGGACGGCGACGGCAAGGCGAGATCGATGCTTCGGTGATTGGGAACTCCCCCGACTCCCAGCTTCTGTGCACTGTTCGGACAAACACAGAAACTCAGGGGAGCAATTTTATCCTTTTTAATTTCATTTTTAATTAAGACTTTCCAATTTATAAGTTTCTCAATTTATGAATTTTATTGTCAGTATTAAATATGTTTATTTTCAATTCCAGGTTTGTCGAATGTTTAAGTTATATTATAAGTGTTGAATTGTTTGTGTGTTAGTGTTGAATTGTTCAAATATGATTTAATGATTTATTATTGTCTCTGAAATTATAAAATCTTCTTAGGCCAAATTGTTTGATGAAAAAGATTGAATCTTTGTTTGTTGAATTAATTTGACTTTGAAGGAATTTTAGCTTTATACTACTGTTAAATCTAAACTCGAAAATGGTGTTTGAAAACTAGTCTTTGTTTAAACTTGGATTAGATCAATTTTGGACGGCCGCCTAAACTCTAATTCCAATTGACAGTTTTAAGATCTTGAGTACGTTTATAGCTAAGATTTTCAAAACACAAGTGTCACCTGGTTAATACATAATTGGCTCCCACCCAATTTTTATTAATCAGAGTTTTCAAGCTGGCTATGTTAAATAGATATAGTCTACTGCATAGTTGTTAAGTGATGTTTTCCAAAGAACTTAATGCTCTATTTTTAATTAAATCTGGGGGCAGGTCCTTGGGTTGTTAAGAATAGTAGGGTCTAGAGTTAGGGCAGGTCTTAACATAGGCTATATTAGGGAGAATAGGGAAGAGCCGCAGGTGGTTTCTCCCCGAGTGTCTTTTGAGTTCGAGTTGCTGTTGTGGTTTCATTTCGTATCTCTTATCTGTTATCCTTATCTTTATTTTATTTGCATTTTTATATTTTTAGAATTATCATTCAAACTCCCCATATCTCTTAGTTTTAGTTTTAGGTTTTCGTTAGTTTTTATTCAATAAAAGTGACAAGTGAACTGATTTTCGTAGCCTAAAAAGTATCTTTCCTCGTGGGATCGACCCTTACTTGCCCTATCTATATGTTTTGATGAATATTGAACAATAAAGGGGGTTAAAAATTAAGGAAATAATAAATTAATTTGTAGGTGCTACGACACGCCTAACAAATATACACCATAGATATAATAATTATTTCAGTTACACTAAAATATACTCCATATATGAATATCAAATGTTAGTTTTATTTATGTCATGATCAGAGTTGATCAACTCGATGTAGTAAAAGATCAAAGCTTTAGAAACTCAAATTACAGGTAGCAATAAAAATGTATTTTAAAAGTAGGTTTAGATTGAGTTTGTCAATGTATTTTAAAAATAATTTTTCTGACGTCTAATAATTAAGGATTACTTTCTCAATTTTCTATTTAATTTGTTTCTGAAGTTTATTATTTTTCATTTTTAAGAATATGAATAATAATGATAATAATAATAATAAAATAATAATAGTAACAATAATAATAATAATTCTTGATTGGATCTGATATGATTGGATCTGATCTGATTTGATTCGATCTGATCTGGTCTACTCTGATCTGATTAGATCTAATCTGATCTAGTCTGATCTAATTTTAATAAGAATAAGGAAAAGCAGAAAAAATAAGTTAAACAAAACGGGGCCTAAAACCATTACTCTATTAGGCATTTTTTAATTTAACCGTGTTTTCTATAAAAAAAATATTAACCATAGTTTTAATAATAAAAAATAGAATGAAAAAAATGTATTAGACGAAGGCAACAAGTTAACGGTAGTTAGTTAACAATTTTAATGAATTAGAGAGAAGACAAGGTCAATTGCAATTTTTGGTAATTAAAATTTGGACCATGCTACACTTACACCAAAAAATATACCACATTTGTACACCACAGGTTTGCACAAACATTTTGATGGTTTACACCAACACAAGTGTTGGTGCGTGTTGGTGCGTTAATAAAAATTCACACGGATACAAATGTTGGTGCGTTTAACAAAAATTAGTTTTACACCAACACAAAATGGGGATGCAAAACTGCGGGGTAAAATTGGGGTACAAATCTTGGGGTACACATAGCATAATCCTTAAAATTTCGTGGAGGGATTACTAGATGAGATGGTCATATGTCCACATGGCATCAATTTAATGGAGGGGCATATTTGCTTGGGCATCCTAGAAACTCCCTTCTATTTATACTCCCGACCAACAATCTTTCAAAATCCATGTTTTATAAGAATCCTACATAATCTATCAATTTTTTAATACCATTAAATTTAGAAAGTTTTTTAAAATCTAAATTAAATACATGTAGATTTCAAATGATTTTTTAAAATCTTAATTGAATACGTGCTGACTTTTAAAATCCAAAAAAAATCCATCAGATTCTTAATTGATTACACCCCTTAGTTGTACCCAAAATTGGGTACAATGAGATGTATAACATAATTTGCCTATGGTTCCTAATGTGTTGCTTTCATTTTTCTTTTTACCTTTGTTTGTGATACTGCGTATTAGCTTATTACTTATTATTTATAAGTAGTTTTAACTTATAAGTTATTTATAAGTTACAAACTCTTTTCTGTCAATAAAATGGCTTAAATGATAAATAATCATTTGAAAATATTCATAATAGGTAAAAGAAAGTTTCACAAGTAATATCGTCAAATCGAAGAAACGAAAAAACTAGCTTAAAAATATGTAAGTAAGACCTACTTATTTGTTCTGACTTATAAGGTACTTATAAGTCACCTTATAAACACGCAAAAACATGTCATCTACTGACTTATAAGTTTAAAACAACTTATAAGCAGTTTTGACCAGCTTATAAGCACAGAAAATGTAATACCTCGTATTAAGATGGGAATGGGAAAGAGCTCAAAAGGATTGATAGCACTACTCAAACCAACAAGGTGCATCTTCTTTTCGAGAGCTCATCACCTAGAAACTTCATAGTTAAGTGTGTTAGGGTGGGGGCCAGGGTGTTACAAATGGTATCTGAGCAGCCCTGTGACCATGACAGGCCAAAATGAGCTTAGTTCACCTAGCGGGGAAGATCTAAGGGTTTAAAAAAGGATGCAATGAGGACATTGCATTCATAAGTGGGGGTGAATGTAATATCCCATGTTAAGATTAGAATGGGAAAGAGCTCAAAAGGATTGATAGTACTTCTCATACCAACAAGGTGCATCTTCCTTTCGAGAGTTATTCACCTAGAAACTCTAAAGTTAAGTGCGCTTGCCTTGGAGCAATTCTAGGATGGATGACCCCCTAGGAAGTTTTCTTTGGGCACTCACAAGTGAGGACAAAGTGTGCGGGAAAGACTTGTGTTGGTTTGTGCGTCAAGGTGTTACAGAAAAACACTCATTTAAGAGTGTGGTTCCCCTCTTCTCTTTATAGAGATGTAATTTCTCTTCTCTTCCCCTTACATTCTAATTTTTTTAATATTATTTTTTACACCTAATTTAATTTAAATTACTTTGATTTAATTTACTTAACCTAAAATTTGAATTAAACATTCCACTAAAATTAAGTGAAAAATAAATAAAAT